TTGCATAACACATTGACGACCGCCGTTTAGTGCGCGTAGACCCGTGTTTTTTCAGAATTTTTCATCAGTACTGATTCCTTCACCAATAATTTTATTATTAATAAAATATTCTATTTTCTGCAGCCAATAATGCGTATGGCCCACTCTGAAAGGTGAAGGAAAAATAAATTGAGTAGAACGACCCTGCTCCGAGCGGAAGTGCGGGAGACATGTAGCCCGCGTTGTCGTCAATGTGATACATTTGTTTATACTCACCAAGCGAGGGATTTGTTGGTATAAAATATCCGTAAGCACAAGTGGGACCAGCGGCTGGGCCAGCTGTAGCTCTCAGTGACTTTTGTGCCTCCTTTCATCTCTCGAGCCTATTTATTCTCTGAGTGACATTACATATAAGCTTCATTGTGCTGGAACTTTTCAGCTAGTCACTGGTTACGGTACCGACCCAAAGATCACGCGAAGTGTAGAGAAATTTGATTGGTATATCGTACCCGAAGCGAATCCAGACGGGATACGAGTACAGCCGGCTATCGGTAAGTCGCTTTACGTGTATGTCAGAAGTCATAGTTTCCTACACATAATCCGTATAGGACCGACTTTGGCGCAAGACCCGGTCAAGGAACACTACGGTCAACAAATGGTGCGTCGGCGCTGATGCGAATCGTAACTGGGGACATCGATGGGGAGAAGCCGGAGCGAACCGTTCTCCCTGCTCAAATATCTACGCTGGGAGTCGGCCGTTCTCTGAACCCGAAATAGTCGGTAAGTGATCACAATACTTCTGAAGCAGAAGGAGATCCTAATGCGAGCCGAGTTAAGTCCGGTACGTCTGACATAACAAATTTGCTCGACAATCGAAACAACCATTTGTAGCGCGATTTCGCTTCGTAAGACGTGACCTAACAGCACGAACACCACGCTGCGACAGGTTGCAATGGTTAGTTACTGGTAATCCCACTGAAGGAAAGAAACGTTACTCATTGTTCATGGCCCACGGGAATCGTGGTCTAGTATCCGCCAGGAGGCCTGTAGCGTGGCAAGAAGGCAGAGACGCAGACAGGTCAGCGGACAAGTCGCATCATGTGCAGTCTAATGTGGGATGCACTGTAGGACATTCTATTCTACTCGGCGCGAAATCGTTCTATTCTATCGAGACATTCTATTCTACCGCTGACCCGTCTCCGTCTCCTGCCTTCCTGGCCGCGCGACGCGGGACGGGCCTCCTGTCGATTACCCATGGTCTGCAATTTGGAAGGGGCTCCATATCTAACTAAGTGATTCCACACATCGCACCATACGCCATAAATGAGCTGCTCAGAGGGCTAGTTGGTGCGCAAGTTCATTCTGCAACATTATATGTCGAAGTAACACCGTTTCGATTCTGGCTTACATGGAACGATCGTTCCCGCAGCGCTGCAACTGAAAGGTAACCGTATCTCATGGATTTCTCACCAGTCCATTTTTGCTTTTTGGGTGAAATGCGTCAGATAGAGCGTGCTCGAGTACGAAGTTATACCTCTTTACCCTCTTTGCTCTTCTTTTTTTCTGTCATTTTCTCTGCTGCGGAATGCTGGTCATTTCTAATATACCTGCGATAGAAGACGATTTGGAAATAGTAATTTTTGAACTTCACACGGGGTGAACTATGAAACTATCTCATGGTTCTCACAGTTATTTGGAACAAAAACTGAAATTGGCCAGTTTAAAAATCAAAGATTCAAGACGCTAACTGATAAGTCTACTAGTTCTCTAGAATTTCAGGCCTCAGAGATCTCGTGACATGGCAGATTCCGAACCTCGTGATCTACGCCAGCCTCCACTCTTACGGGCAGCTACTATTGTCTCCGTGGGGCTACACACAAGCACGCTACACGCCGCACGGCCTGAGCAACTCATGACCGAGGTTCGTCACCACATGAAAGCTAAAAACATCAGAAATGGGTCAGCCAAAGACCTGGAGACTGAAAACGCGATTAGCCACCACGTTTCACGAACAGCAAGATTAACAAGGGAAGGCTAGTAAATCGGAATGGCCGTTTCCGGAGAGATTACAGACAGGTTGAACAGCAGTAAGCACCTACAGAAGCGGTCAGAAGTGCTCACCAAAATGGTTCTCCGTGTATTTGTTCTTGAAAAAAAAAAGAGCGTATAAGCAACTGGAAACTTCGTTTTAGTGAGAGTGTCAAAACATCGTCAAAACATAAGATATCAATTTACGCCATGTACGAATAAAAATAGTTGCGCACCAAAAAGCCTTTTCGGCGAACGTGGTTCACGGCGTCCACTGATATCAGTCATTTCACTGCCAACTTCACGGCGGCCGTCGATTTTTTTTACGATGACAGGCCATCATCCACTGAACATTTATATCAAAGCAGTGCCACCATGGTGTGAGGATGGAGAAGAGAATCGTGAGAAACGCTCCAGAACCCGAGAACTGGGACCTCTTCTTGATTTCCTCATTAGTGCGACTCTCATCGGTGCTGCCTCTTCAACGTTAACGCTCTCTCTGCTGAAAGCTAGACGGTGGGCGGGCAACTGCGCGGTTATGGTCCTGCTAAGCCGCTGAGATCATGCCCTTCACTGCGAAATCACGCACCGTCCCACACCTTTAGAAGGCGCTCGCTGGCTTGGATCAGCTTTCGTTTCCGCCCGTCTTACCAGACACCGACCTTATCTGGAATCCTCTTTCAACCTAGCTCCTTCCCCCTGTAAGCTCTTTTTTGTCGTACAGCAATCGCACCTTCCTAATCAGCTGTGCTAAGGGAATGAGAGACTAAGCGCGGAGAGGAGAGTATGGGGCGAGAGAGCACTACAGATGAGAGAGCGCCAGACAACAGCCTGATAAGAAAGAAAAAAGTCTGCAGCTTGGGCAGCTTACTTTGCAAGGCCCAAGCGCTCTTATCGGTTGGTTTCCGTGCACGAGAACGCCACATTTGTGATTGTCCTCTAGGGGTCTATACTACAGACCGAAGAGAAGCGTTCACACGACCTCTGCCTGGGTTGTGCCTTTAAGGGAAAGCTCGATCTCTAATGCACGTTTTCACAATATTATTCTAAAGGCCAATATACGGATGGACAGCGCCTGTACAGTTGATCCCCACAAATTTCGGTAATGAATTCAGCGCAACGCGGCACGCGAATTTGCCCGTCTCAGAGCGATACAGAACACTACCTGGGTGTCAACGTACAATCTATTGTGCATTCGGATCGGCAGAAACCCTATGTTGTAAGCGCGACGGTTTTCAACATGCCATAAGTATATCTTCCAAGGGCGCTAAATAACAGGATTACTCAAGATCCGCCGCGTCGCCGGTACCACCAGTATTAGACCTCGCAATGGCACGGATCGAGGGGAGACCCCGACGTACATTTTCGGTGTTTGAACATACGACCGCCGACTCCACATAGCAGGCTACGCCTTTTCAAGCCATACCTACCCGCGAGCCCAGCTATACATTCGTCCAACGGTAAGGCTTGTCTCAGGATTTCATTTTATCATTGTAATATTAGGCTATTATTTAAAAAAGCGGACAAACGCAGAAAGAAGCTCCTCTGTCCTCTATGAAAGGAATATTCGCCTTTAGCACGAGAATACCCGAGTAGTTGGATAAATCAACAAATCCCCTAAGTAAGGAAGTAATCGTTCAAATACGGAATATTTTGGGCGTCACTATTTGCAGCAGCAAGTATGCTAGTCTTTGCCCTAAGCTGCAACCAACTGTCATTAGCAACGCAACAACCATACAGCGCGCGACGATTTGCGTTCAACTTGCTGCTGTGTCCTCCGTCTGCGCCCTCTTCTTGGCGCCCACTGTCTCTTCGTCGCCGCACTGGGCACCTCACGAACACAGAACAGAAGCCGAATTACAGCGCCTTCGATAGATATTTTTTCTGGCGGCCGGTCTCATCTGTGCACCGCCTATTTCCTCTTGGGAATTTCCTGTCAATTCTTAAGCTTCTTTGTAGCGGGATCACACAGCTTGGTCGTTAGACGGCGCCTTTGTCGTGGTGATGTGTTCCTTTGCGATTTCAATTCGGCGAGGATTCGCAGTCTACATCATATCAATATCTCGATGAAGGATTGTTAGATCGCTTGGGAACTGCGTAGCAGCCCCTTCAATATTGCAGCTCAACACACAACGTACTATAAACGTGACCCCTTCTCCTGCACACAAATGAAATCTTTCTGTACCTTTCCTCTTTGAAAATCGACTAGGATGCTTCAATTCCAAACAAAATTTCAGGTGAAGAAATGCTCGCCGCTCTGATCGCCATCGGAGATTACGCCATAGAACATAAAAAGTTATAACACCATTATCTGGCATCTTTATCTGTATAAATAGCCCCATATGGTGCTTCCATCACCTCTGTAAAATCTATTCTCGTCTCTCGTAAACTACTTATTGTCTGTCATTTTCCAACAACTCACTTGTTCATTAGTCATTTGGTTTCTATTCATTTGGAAATTTACAAATCTGTTTTTTTTTCCAATTCGCCATTGTGCACATTTTCAAACCGGTACGACCGAATTGTTCACCACCTGTCCAGAGCTTTAACGTGTTACACTTCCTATTATTTCTGATGAATTCGGTAAGAAATTTTCCGAGTTTTATTTTTTTTTCAACAGAGCAAAGAATAAAGAATACTAATTGTTCGTGAAGACCAGAGACCTATTTAAAGTTTTTCACCATTGACTTTTCTCAACAAAGCAATGAATAGTACTTGTCCGTAGCGAATAGTACCTGTCCGTAGAGACCGGAGACCAATTTAAATTCCCCGCAGTATTTACACTTTACTGGCCCCTTTACTTTTAACACTCTTCGGGATCTGGGTCGAATTCTTCTCGAAATGGAGGTGGATTTGACTAAAAGTCGTCTATGGGGGTAGTCAGAACAGTGGAATACAATACTGCATTTGTCTGGCGAGAAAACGTCGGGCGCCTCGCCACAGGCGCCACGAAAACGCCTGGCTCCGATACCTCTGACGCGAATTGTAGGCAGTTTCTCAACAAACGATGTGATATTCGTGCTCACCTTATCAAACTGCCAACCCCTAAGGCAATTTTCTGGAATTCGATGGTGTGAGGAAATTTGGCGCCGGAGGCGCGAGCGCCAACCGTTTTTGCGCCGAATAAGTGCGATGTTCGTCTTCTCCGGTCAAATTACCACCCATATGCAGTTTTTTAGCCGAATCCATCTCCATTTGTGAGTTTCGAGAACAACACTGATCAGTTACCGAAGAGAGATACAGAAAATGATAAATAGTGTCAGGTTTTCCGTATAGACATAGTAAAACAGACTTTCGCTCCACCGTAATGGACGACCATGATTTGGGTGCTAACTTAGTTGGGGGGGGGGGCCACGCGGCGGCGCGGCAGTCTGCTCGCCTGGCATGTTCGGAAATCCGTGGGCCAGGGGGAGTGTAGCCAGCTAGGGGGGTGGGGGTGGGGGCAGTCACTTGACATGCGTGAAAAGCTGGAATGTTCGAGTTTACACTGTCTCGCTCGAGAGAGGCCCAGGTGAGCAGACTGCCGCGCCGCCGCGTGCCCCCCAACTAAGTTAGCATGTAGTTTTGTTTTATAAGTATCCCCATTTCAGAGACTGGTTGTCTTGAAGTCTATCATACACATTTGTGAATAATGCGAACATTTATGTTAATCTCAGAACCGAAAACGATTTATGTCTAAAATTTACATGGCAGCATAAAACAGTTTTTCGTATAAATTCGTTAGTAGACACTTCACCTAAACTCTACTTATTAGACAGCTCACTAGTTCTCTTTCACAATGGCGAATGTAGGTTTTCCCTGAAATTAGTGGCTAAAAAATCTCAGCACGATGCTGTCAAAAGGAAGTTGTACCTTCGTTACCTCTGTGTCTGTTCCTACAGGCACCTTTTTCCCGTGTAGTAAATACGGTTGGGCAAGATCATGGCGACAATTTGACCAACCCGTGCCGAGGCCTATACCTGATCCAAACCATATGGGCCACGATCGGCTCTGAATGTCTCGAAATATTTCAGATACTCACCGTTTTCAAAAATCAAACAGAGGCTGAACTTTACCATCTGACTATTTTATTAATAAGTTGAAGTAAGTAGATTGCGGTGCTTAGTCCCTATACGCGTAGTCTAGTGTTTAACAGTTGGGATTTGAGCTGATTCAGGTGATGGGAAAATGAATGGGTTTCCTTTGGAGAATTCCTTCCCACAGTAAACCTTTCTCTCTATTCTATCATTTTATCCTCTCGAATCATCCCGATATCCTTTCCTTGTTGAGTTTAGCGCGTTTATGCGTCCATAACAAGAAAATTAGCAATGTGAACCATACACATAATCAAACTATTTAGAACTGAAGTTGCGCACTAATGAAAGCCTAACGAGAAGATAGGAATGTAGCATGGGAGCTTCAAAGCCAGAGAAATATAGCATGGAAGCTTTCAAGTCATAAATTGAAGCTTCCGACATAGATCTATCCCCATTTGGAATGCGTCACCCATTCTACTTTTATCCAAAGTCGTAGTGATTCCATGAAGATATATGTAGCTCAAACCATAACTTGCAAGGTCAGCCAATAAAGTCAAGGTTTTTATCCTGCCAGATGAGTTTGGTACCTTTTATCTAAATCCGGAGGAATGGAAGGTTTGCCTAGTCTCGGCGAAATTCCGAGTTGATCCTTAGATGTGCTGGTGGGAAACAACGCCCCTAGCCACTGCACCATCTCAGGCTTATGCAAGTTTATTGGGAAATGTTTTCCAAAAGAGACCCAACCCATCTATACCAAAATTGGCGCTATCGCAAGATATACGGCATCTTTCAGGACTAAGCCCAATATAAGCCTAGGAGGGGCAGCAATTTCGGGGGAAAATGAAAGTTGTTCAAGCTCTGGAGCCTCTCTCTCAAGGCCTAATCCCCTTCATAAAAAGGTATTTGACGGCGTTCCAAATGCGTTACCGCGGCGATGCCCCTTTATCTTGCGACTGTAGGGAAACGTAAAACGTATATGTAGAGAAAAGTGCTGTTTCCACAGAAACACTTCGCATCAAACAGTTGCTGCCAGCGGCAAAAATCTGAGTACCAAAAAAAGTTGATGGAAATATTTGTATTTTTACCGAAACAGGGTTAATGGATGGCTTCACTTGGTCACAAAACTCTTACAGGTTCTAAATTCTGGTCGTTGATAGATTGAAATGAAGGAATACCTTGAAAAATGCCACGCTAGCCACAATTCCGATGGCTATTCCGCCACTTATCTTCAACAATGAATCGGCGAAACATCTGAAATGTGAAGTTCCTTTATCTGTATTCATACTCAATAGTAACTCATTTAAGCGCCCAACTAAAGCTCAACAAAGGGATTAGCTACCACTGTTGTCAAAAACAGCAACTGACACATCGAAAATAGTTAAGTCTAGAAGACATCTCTAAGGGATTTCTGATGGAAAATGCCAAAACGCTACATGTTAGCCACTCGAAGTATGTGGGGCGAGACACAGCAGATGTTGAAGTTGCAAGAGGCACATATGGCTACCTGACGAGACCTATGAAAGTTACGAGGAATTGTGATTCATGGGGCGAATATGCTTCGCGAGCTGGCCCTGCAGTTTTGGCGTGAAAATATGGAAACCGTCCATAACATGTAACATGTGACGTGCAATACAGTTACATGGACCTTAGATAAAACCGTAAAGCAGAGAAAACAAGAAGCATATCGGAAAACCGGTACTTCAATGATGTTTCACAACTCGTTATCGATTACAGCAATTTCAAGGCAAAGGGTAAGCGAAAACATGGCCACGCACTACGATTGCAATGGAACAAGAGTTAAGCTGCAGCTCATCAAAAAGCGTAAGTTGCCGACGACATATGCCAAGGAAAAATGGTGATTCTAGGCCCAATTGCCAGCAAAAAAGTGTGTTGAATTAAGGAAGAGCAGAGAGGTAGCATACGCCGATAAAGTAGACACACGAGTAAAGAAGGATGCTCAACCGCGAACAGGTAGCGCGTAGCGACAAATGATAGCTGTGCTATCAAAAAATCTCTCGTTTGTTTATTAAGAAAATATTAGAAAGGAAATTTTTTTTTAAATTATAATTTTTTTTTTTTTTTTTTTTTTTTTTTTTTTTTTTTTTTTTTTTTTTTTTTTTTTTTTTTTTTTTTTTTTTTTTTTTTTTTTTTTTTTTTTTTTTTTTTTTTTTTTTTTTTTTTTTTTTTTTTTTTTTTTTTTTTTTTTTTTTTTTTTTTTTTTTTTTTTTTTTTTTTTTTTTTTTTTTTTTTTTTTTTTTTTTTTTTTTTTTTTTTTTTTTTTTTTTTTTTTTTTTTTTTTTTTTTTTTTTTTTTTTTTTTTTTTTTTTTTTTTTTTTTTTTTTTTTTTTTTTTTTTTTTTTTTTTTTTTTTTTTTTTTTTTTTTTTTTTTTATAACTATTTTCTCATTCTTTCTGAGACTAGTATGGCAGCACGTGTTTTATGAATAGGAATTCAACGCTAATGGTGAGCAGAAGCCCAGAGGTTCACGAAGCTGCAATCAAAGATTCAGCATGATCCCGTATCGTAGTGATTATGATTCTCATATAGGTGGAGGCTGGAAAACTGGATAGAACAAAGGAGAGGTAGAATGCGTAAACTCGTGCGGAACGCCGTCACACGTACACCTCAACACGTTTTCGTTTTGTGTTTCATCAGTAGCCACACAATATCAACATGTATTTAGTATGTACTGGTTCAGTGGACCGGTACATCTGCAGTGTAAGCGGAGCAAGGTCTTATTTTTCCTATAATCACTTGTCTTCTCTGTTGTTCTAGGGGTGTCAGTCTATCACAAAACTCCGTAACACCTTTGAGAGCCTAGAGGTCCCAGATCAACCTTGAGATGGATGGGGCATGGGCTAAGAAGTACAAAACACACACACTAAGTGAAGCTCCGCCCACGCAGGACGGGACATGCGCCGGTCAGTGGAGCAGGGAGCAAAACTTTCTAATTCGGTTTCACAACATCCACAGACAGAAAAAAGACGGTAGAAGTGGGAACAGAGTAGCGAGGTCATATTTAAGGAAATCCACTGCAGTGAGCTGGTGGAACGCTCTTCAATTGGACGGAGGAGAGGGAGTGCTCATCGAAAAACTTCAGAACTCTACATAGAGAAGATGAAGAAAAATTCGTGGAGGCAATACCTATTGCGTACGAACATCTTTTAAACTAATCGGAGCCGTATCCACAGTGAAGCGGGAGCGCGAAATTGATGTGGAACGGAGTTATCTATCTGTCTTCATAATGTCGGACAAGAGCGCAAGGAAAGGTAAGGCAGCAAACGAATAGGGGAGTATCAAACGTAGATAGCGGATGAGCGTTCCAGAACACTGATCTGAGCGAGCCTTGAAACATGGGAATCCAAGACGCTTCGAATACAGGGAAAGCGTCAAAGAGGCCGGACTGAAGAAGGAAAAGATCAAGCAACGTTTTCGTGGACGGGGCCGTAGCACGTGATAGACCACAAGCTTCTCACTTCAGCTGATGAGCACATCTCACTGCTGACATCATGTGCCTTAAGTCTCTATACGAGGCTGGCTGGGCAACGTACGCAGCGCCACAGGAGCAACCAGTGCATTGGCGTAAAGTCTCAACGACCACGAAAATATAACCTTGCGCGAGTTTTCTGCCCGATTATGACACGTTCTCTCGCTGGCGACATTCACATCGCCACGACTCGCAGCGTCTGCGCTCGACGCCCATATCGCGTGCGTTGGGAGCGATCTCTCATACGTGCCGGCTTGAAAACTTGCGACGGCAAGCGCACGGCCTGAATTGCGCACGCTAGTAACCGAAAACTCCGCCTTCCCTTGTTCCATATTACCGCGACCTCCAAGGATGCGCGTACCAAAATCCAAAAGTCTTACAAAAGAATTTGTTAAGCTTTCTCTCTTACAGTAGTTCACAAAATTATGTCAACCTTTAACACGTCGAAACGATAAGGAACTGAAGAGCTGTACATGCCTGCCGACGCTCAATTTTATGCTAAACGTTATAGCATAGACGAGTAATGGCAGAATGAATCAGACAAAGTTCTAAACCTGACTCAAAGAAATAACAACTTTGTGGTTAGTGAGCCAGAGCAATTAAATTGACTCACTTGATGCAGCGCATCAAGTGAAAAAGTGCATCAATGAAAGCATAATTCAAAAATAAGCCACAATGTTTTCAGCGTCAATTATTTACATGAAAAATTCCTTATGACAGCATGCAGCTGTCAATCGTAACTACCATTGGATTCTTACCCCCTCCCCCCCAACTCCCATATATTGTGATCGCATAGTCATTCATACAAAGTCAACATCACATTATTACCTCACCTATCAATCTTCTCTCCTAGCTCATCTTCACTGCGGACCATTCTGCAACGAATGAATATGGAACCATTGGAAAGACTAAGACAACTCCAAAAAAGGAGAAATGTAGAGGAAAATGAAGTACGGAATGTTTAAACATTCGCTAGTATCTGTAACCGAAAAGGAGATAGGGTGAATAAGTTTATTTGGCAGGTAAAATATATATTCTAAGATACCATAGAAACTACAAAATAAGAATCATGAAAACAAAACTAAACAAACAAAATTCTATTCGATTACAAACGCGAATAGATGAGATAATTTGAAAACCCGAAAAGGCAAAAAATGAGAATTGGAATTATGTAGATGATGGATCCATCCAATAGCTCCAAGAATCACAACAGCACAGCATTGAATTAGTCAAAATATCCTCCATGCATCGATTCCACTCCACCGTGCTAAATGATAAATCATGCAATAAGGTGGTCTCCGAAAAAAATAAATGAATTGCTGGAATAATTACTTTTGCTAGGGGCTCCTCAGGTAGTGGATGACCCTGTTCATGGCGCCAGCCGAAGGAAGAGCCATGTTCTAGAAATTGAAGTAGTCAAGATATTTCTAATTTGTTTCTATTCTTAAAGAAAAGAAATGAGGTGAAAACACCGAGTGAAAAAAAATCATTCGACATAACAGGAGCAGATTCCGAATTCCACTAAAATTAATAGCACTAAAATAGGAGAGTTAAATGGTGCTCTACTTATAGTATTACATATCTTTGAGACTATCATTGCGCAATTGAAAGGTTTATTCCACTAAGGCAAAAGCCCTTGCTTAATAATGAGAAACGAGCAGCCGTTTGACCCTCTACGATATATTTCATGTAAAAACACCTGGACGTTATGAATTTTAGAAGCCGTAAACTAACATAAAACATTCGCTACATCTTACGAGAAAGAACAATCTAGTTTTAGAAAACCAACATTGAGCAGAATGTTTAGATGTCACATCCTTACCGGAGGGTAGCGGCTTCGCTGGAGCGATTCTTGCCTGTGCAGGTTCTGTTGACTCATTCGATTTCTCTTGCTTACTCACCCTGTAAGGAAATCGAGCACTTTCAGCAGTTCACTGGAGAACTGCTTTGAGCAAAACTCACGGAGGGTGACTGTAATAAATCTTTGGCGTAACACTCGGATATTCCATTCGAAAGAAGGACTTCTTGAAATAAAAAAATATTCGATGCTTGTCGCGAAATTCTCGTTAAAAAAGATGGCTCCGCTAGAGTTAATCGTGTCTCAAACAACAAACTCAAGTTTTAGAAGTTAAAGCGTTACTGAAAAAACCTCTTCCATCGATGGATGAGGAGCAGGTGCTGGCGGTTTCATACGTTGGACAGGTACCGATGATTTCACAGACAGTGTCGGTGGCGGTATAAACCCAGGCGGAAGAGGTCTCCCACTAGTTAGTACCGGTCCATTCTGGGGGATTTTAATAGGCTGAGTTGGTGCCGAGCCGAGTAGGCCACGCTTCACTGAAATTCGTCAAATTAATGATTCTTTAAAATTGTACCCAGGCAGCATCGAGCAACAAACAAGGCACCTGGTCTCTCTATTTCTATTTCTATTTCCGCTGGTCTTTTAAGTGTCGGTGGCTTAGTTACCAATTGGACCACCTGAAAACACTCTAGTTTCTTCCTGGACTCCAAAAATGAATAGAGTTCCAGTACCTCCTCCCAGTCTTCGCTATCACTGAGTTCCTCAATAAACTGCTTGGGATCAATCGAAGTATGCGAGGTGGATTGTTTCACGCTGATCTAAAAATCGCTGTACCTATTGAGAAACAATGGTTTCGTTCAATAGAAGTTGACTCCACAACAAACCTCTTCTGCATAGTCAGCATAGTCATATGCCG